AAGTAGGTCTTAACGGAGAGCAGAATATCTCTTGTTTATAAGCCTAAGATTTAGAGTTGACGCACCCTGTGAAGTGTTAATACTAAAGTTGCTCTGAACGATTCAATTAACATTGAATAGAGCGAAACTATGATAAATGTTTTCCATGAGTTCAGCGGTGATATTAAGATTGAAAAATAAATTACATTGACTAGCCACCTCTTCCTGTATCTACCAATTCAACTACTCTGATGTAGAAAGTTATACTGGCAGATGTTCTTAGAATTTTTAGTATCGTGCTTGTGAGCATCTCTCGGTGTGGTAAGCAAATGTATAATTAAAACTTGGTATCTCAATCCAAACTTATTCAATACAAACAGGTTGACTAACATGTTTTAAAAGGAAATGATTTTTTAAGGGTATGAAATTTATTTGCCAACCACCAACCCCCCACCATTCACCTGTACCCCTTTACCATCAACCAAAAACGTCATTTCATCCGGCCAATGAAATGCTTATTATCAGACCCATAAATGTAGCGCATTCGGTTCGGGAATATCAGTTTTAGTCAGAGTTGCTTTCTACCATGTCTATTTCAAATATTGAAGATAATATGATTTTGCAAGAAATTTTCGTCAGTCTAAGTTCTTTGATGAAAGCGCAACTCCTGAGACAACTGAGATCTTATGAGAATGTGATCCTTATCCGTATGAAACTTGCCGGCCAAACAGGGTATACAGCTAATATGGGACAATCATTTACAATCATATACTGTATTAATAGTTTTCTTTTTAAATCCGTCAGACTTACAGTTCTTCAGAAGACTGAAGCACTAGTTATTCAATTCAAAAATGTCAGAGCCTTGAGTGCAAAAGAAATATGTTTTATACGTATATTAGTCAAGATTAGAACCAATAGTTTGACAGAAATTGGGCACCTAGTATAGAGAAGTCATCATATGTGAAAATTATGTATTTCTTTGATTATTTTGATTTTGATTAATTACCCTGAAGAATTCCAGACATGTTAGCTGGACGAAACGTTGGAATTATATAAATTTCAATCACTGAGATTATTTCAAATAGAAATATGTTTTGTTTTTTCTTTCTCCTTAACCAAATTATGGCTCAGTCATTTTGATGATATGAAGACATTATTGAACTAACCTATATGCTACCTTCCTTTTTAAACTTTTATAGCCTAAAGTTATCTGATTCTCATATGTTATTATTATAAGGCTTGCAAACGTTTGAGTATTTTATTTGGCACCCAGCCCGACTTAATATTTTCTCTAACCGAATACATATCATTCTACATATCACGCAATCCCTGGTCACACATTTATTTCAACTTGTAATTATATATATATATATATATATATATATATATATATATATATATATATATATATATATATATATATATATATATATATATAATCCCTCACTAAACTGATATAGGTTATAAAGAATTAATGTTAGAAATTAAGCCGTTCTATCAAGAATAAACTAAAGTATATATACATCATAAATAACCTTTAAAGAAGGGGTACTGAATAGCGATTTCACCTTAGTTTTAAACTTAGCAACAATGAACAAATATGATTACAAGTGATATTTACATAGGTTTCATTACCTCGATCCCCACAAAATAATGAAATTATAGACATAAGCAAAGAAGCTTATACGATTTGACTCATCTTTTGATAGGCATATATTTCACTGGTTGAAATCATGAGTCAATTGAAGCTATACCATCATGGAAAACCTGGAAGCACAGGACGGTCGTTTCGTTCTAGTATGAGACTCCTTATCAGTGCGCATCCACGATCCCTCACGTGAGACTCTAACGCAGGACCTTTATTCTCGCGTGCTAACGTTAAATCTCTAGATCACTGAGCCGGTATCCAACGATGTTAATCTCTAATTTTAATCAATCTATGATCTTGCAAAACCTTTCATTCATTGTCTATGGTAGATACTTGTCTCTACCCGACATAGATTGAACTCCACTAATCACAGATTCTAACTAGAATTCCAGGAAATTCATTTCATGAATTCAACCGTTAAAATTAGTATAATCTCAAAGAAAAAGCTATTCTAATAATAATTTTATCATTGAAGTAAATAATTTCAACCGTAAAACCTTTAAAATTATCAGTTATCATAATAGACAATCATTTAGGCAATCATTAATATACTTACTTACTTACTTACACCTGTTACTCCTCGTGAAGGAGCATAGGCCGCTCACCAGCATTCTCTATCCAACCCTGTCCTGGGCAATTATTGATAAAGGAAATAATTTAATGAATTTAAGTAAAATAAGATTGACTGTAATTAGAGAATATTTTCAATGTTTAACAGGCATTTCTAACGTTCATATTGTTTCAGAAAAGTATAATCTTATTTTTTTTTAAACTATAATTCATTCTTAAACTCATATTAACTTTTACAATGAAGATCACTGTTATTTGATCTGAGTATAATGAATTTACGGTAATATATGATTGATAGTTTCCGATTAGTTCGTTATCGGATTTTTAATCAAATGGTATTGAATGATTAATCATAGGTAAATGTCTTTTGATCTGAGATAAGCTTATTTCATGAATGTTATATATTAAACCGATGACCATTAAACATTTATAACATCTAGGTAATCTAGTCTGGGTTAAGATGTTATCTTATGTGGTTATGGATTTATAGTCTGTTCTATGAAATTTTACGTGATGGTACGTAACTGGATGTTTACAATAGTTAAGTGAATAACAGTAGATGTTTAGGTATTAGACCAGTTAATAGTTAGGAAAACGCTATATGAATGAATTGAAACGTCCAGGATTTCAAACAGTAGTTGATACCAACTTCACAGTCTTCAGGAAACGGATGATGTAGAAGACTTGTTCGGTATAATGCGTTTTTCATTTAACGTAAACCAAAATTTAATCATATAAGGCAGTTATACTTAATGGAAATAATGTTCCTGATATCAAGTTGTACTTTTCATTAGATTATACTTTGAAATATAACATTAATTTACGTAATCCAACTTGTCCCTTTCGGTCAGTTAGTGAGTCATAATCAGCATAGAGTTTGAGACAAATGTGCTGTAGCCTGAATCATCAAAATACGTAGGTTTAATGAGATGAAATTACAAAGATCAATATTAAAGGGAGAAAATAATTTCAAAAATAATGAGAATGAAATAACATTCAGATGGTACGAAAAGACAGAATGAAAAGTTATGTATGATGGAATACTGGAACTCAAGGCTTAAACTGACTTAAAAGATAGATGCATCCATGCCATTGTGACTGATTCTGAGCTATATCACTCAACTCCTTCAATTAGTGATCATGGTAATCGCACAGGTTCCAACCAAGAAGTTTGGATCTACCATCATTTAGTATGATTCAATGCAACCGATAACACAAAGGTGTCAAAAGTGATTGAGAAGAAAAGATTCATTAAATCAAAAGCTGATAAACCTCAGCATCCTGAGAAATGGAATTTTAAGCAGAGACGTATTAAGTAATGTGCAACAGAAAAATGGAGAATTTAGTTGGGTTTGACGATATCATTTACCGAAAATGTAGTGTTAAATTTATGGTTACTTCGTTTTTACATATGGAAATTTATAATAAATAGAGGGATTTCTCATCATTGAGCAAAGTTCTTAAAGGTTCTCAATTATCGAATATAAGTCTTTGAGGTTAGAAGTAATAATGTATACAAGTGTCGAATATAATTATCCACAAATATAAATAAAAGTAGTTTTAAAATTATGAGAGATGATATAACTAATACACTGGGCCAATCGGGAATCGGTTGAATGATAGACCCACGCGATTGGTCAAGAAATGGAATGCATGTCCAAGATATGAGACATACCTCAGTTCACTGTAGTTAATAAACGTTTTTGTTGTTCTTGGTCTTTGCTTAAGTAGCCGGTTGGGCTCGTATATATGCGGACTGAGGATTGGCACCAAATTTTGATATGGTACTTGAGGCATTCGATGGCTATGTCTGAGGCGGATTTTAAAATGGAGTTTGACTGTCGACTGATGATTCAATCATTAAACCTGATACCCTATATTGATCTCATTACTTTACTGTTATATATATGTAAATCTGACGATAGTTTTGATTCAAAAATATTATGGATTGTAAGTGACTGATGAGAACCTAATGAAACAATATGAATTTATTTCATTATATTCATTTCCATATCCTTACCCTCTTTAGGGATAATGAAGTTAACTATGTACATGGAATATACATTAATTACTTTTGGGTCTATCGGTTTAGATTTGTGTGTCTTTTTCTCTTATTCTGACTAACCGTTTTATTTCAAATTTAGTCGTTAAAATATTATTAGTTTAGCTGCAATCCTGTTAATCTGTTTTCAGCTGACACAAAACTTTGAAATAAACTAGATTCATGATATTCTTTATAGGGATTTTCATTGTTTACATATAATTCTAATCAGGAAATGACATCAGCTGAATTATTGTCATAGACTAAACTACATGAACAGCTGTATTACTACACAGTTTACAACTTCCTAATAATGATTACTCATAAACATGAATGGTATAGAATATAGAACTTTCAGATCTTTTAGAGAACAAAATATCATGTATAATTCTTGGCTAAATCTTGTATAAAATTCACCAAACAAGTAGAATATATGAAATTTAACAATAATAGAAAATTTAGTCCCAATCAAACATCTTCATTCATTTCATTTACGAATAATGCCATGTTGTTGAAACTAAATTTATCATAATGTAATTTATTCAAAACCTAAAAAAAATATCCGCATATGAGATTACAGTAACTGTAATTAATTCTATTGGTTGATTAAATTTTGACCAATTAAAATACTTCTCGATTCATTCATAATCATTTAAATAGAAATTTATCCAATCAGCTTAGGAATATTCAATTCATGTAAATATTAACCAATAAAAATGAATCCATGTTATCATGGTTATCATGTTGACAATTAATTTTTTTGATATAATTTATTTACATAAGAATTTCATTTTTTTTTAAATATATTAATTACAAACAAAAATTTTCCCTGATCCATTCAGTTTACTTTAGAACTCGAATAAAGACAAAAAAAACCCATTGAAACAATTCAATATAACCAATCAGATAAGGTCATGTTATTTTCGTTTTGTCAGTATGTAAATCAAATACGATGGAATTAATTGAATAATTAAAATGAAGAAACTTAAATAATATGTCATTCGTGATCAAATTAGGAAATATTAACAAGATCTAGATCAATATCTAAGTATTATGATGATGATGATCATGATGATTAATGTCATGGATACATGTATTTTAAATTACTTGAAATTATTGATATACAGTTACTAATTATTAATTCACATATATCTCTGTTCATTAAAAGATATTCGTATATTTCACTAAGAAATTAGTAAGAAGTATTGGAATAAATGATCTAGAACATTTATATTATTAACAAAGTTCAATATTGTGAAAGTCATGTAAGTAATTCTACTTTGATCTCAATTAGTTTATGTATCAGTAAAAAATGTAGTGCTTGTTTCTAAATTTTGTGTGTGTGTGTGTGATCTCGAGATTATGTAATTTTCTCTTCTAAATTATTGTTTAAGCCTATTTATTACTTACAATCAGATTGGAGTCATTTTAGTGAAATTCATATATGTGAACTGAGGTCATGTAAAAACTTTTGGTGATTGGTAAAACAGACAAGATAAGTTGTTATGGTCCTTTTTCAAACAGTTATTAAAAATTTTAATAGTTGAGATCATGAGTCAATTGAAGCTAGACAATCATGGAAAACCTGGATACATTGGTCGGCCGTTACGTACTGTTGTGAGACTCTTCAGCAATGCGCATCCATGATCCAGCCTCATGAGATTCGAACCCAGGGCCTATCGATTTTGCGCTCGAACGCCTAATTCCTCTACCACTGAGCATTCTGGCATCCAACTTTTTTAATATCTTACTTCAACTAATCCACGAAATCGAGTGACACATCCACCACTGTCTTCAGTAAGTTTCTATCTCACAACAAACCCGGTTGAACTCTACTGATCACTGCTTCTTATTAGAACTCATGATCTCAACTATTAAAGTCACTATAATATCCACAAAAACTACATCTGATAGTTATTAAATATATACATAAATATATATTGACATAAAATTTGCACTATTATACGGACATTATAGTTGTGGAATCTAAACAAGATTTCGTTCATTGTTTAGATAATATCGTACGGCGGAGAAAAGATTAGAATTAGCATAGAAATAAGTATGTAATTTGTGTGAAAATATAGTTTGTAAAACCTAGAAAATGGAACAATCAACTTATATGACTTTTTTTCTTGTTTCTAATTGTCATAGCTTTAGTGGGAACACGTTTCTTCCTCTAATCTAATCTAAAGATTTATTTTAACAATTAATGAGATGGATTCAATAGAATGATTCTCATAGCAGCTAGTGACTGAATTATGTTCATTATTTGTTTAGCCTTCAGGATTCTGTGAACAACTGGAGTTACTATTATGTAATCACGATTTAGAACTTCACTAGGTGAGTTTACCATATTAATCGATCAGACATAGGTGCTGGACAGTTCGTTTAACATATAAATACTGTAAGACTTTTATGAAAAGAAACTTATATAGAATTAATATTTTGTTCGCTTTAGGATGGGTGTGAACTTGAAAATTAAAACCATACAGTTCAAACAATTCCGATTAGTCGTAGCCATAAATTGTGCACAGGAGTTTTATGATGTAGGACTTTTGTGAGATAAGGTTATACATCTATATTAACTTCTAATACTGTTTTGAACTAGGTTTGAAGATGTTAAATTGATAGTCAGTTGATTATCTTTTATATCTTTAAAGAAAATAGTTTTACCTTCGGTATGAACAGCAAAAGACAGAGCGTTCATATTTTATTCAACTTCAATAGAACATAGATTACGATGTTAATACATATTCAGGTATAACTTAAGACACTTTCAAGATATTATGTCGAAAAACAGATACACTGACAAAATGCAAACAATTTCAAATTTATGAATCAGTAAGACTATAATTTATGGACAACCTTTGAGCAACATCAAAGTGACTTAGAGAATGTTCACCTATTAACTAGAACTAAATGATTTTTATAAACCAGTGTGAGGAATTAAACTTATGATTTACAATTAATGTTTAGGGTTAGAAACTAGATTTAAACTTTTCATCACGAACTGAAGCTAAAATGTCAAAACGTTATATAGCCAAATGAATGAATGACTTTCGCGCTAAAATCCAAGACCTGTTTTCCTAGATCTGATTAATTGATCCATAAATTATAGTCTCCCCTATGAATCTATAAACATTTCCATACATTTATGACTATTTTTATCAACTGCCTGTTTTCACTATTCTTTATTTATTAAGGTGAAAAGATGAAAATAATGAATTTTTAATTCAATTGTATCTTGATAGACTCATAAGTCTCTCATCCTTGACTCTTCTACATGTATATATAATGTTGTTTATGACTAAAATACAGTAAACAAAACTAATACCAGACAACAGTGTTTACTATAAAATAAATGTTCACATTTATCATGATTTCGTGCATACTTTCCATGATAAATATAGATAGTGAATATATACCTATGTAAAAAGAACTATCCAATATTATCTATGCTTTATTCTATTCATTGAATTGTTTCCTATCATGTTCAGTATTTCTTTCGATATTATTTTACATTAGAATTAATAAGAGAAACATTGGTTGGATTGAAAACATAATAATCCACCTACTCTCTCTCTATCTATCTCTCTCCCCCTAACTTTGATTTAATGTATACACATGTCTGTTTTGAAATTGTTAATGTTTTTCATTACACATTTCGATTGTCTTGTTATCTGGCGTCAGATGGCATTGACTTATTCTGTGTATATTCTATATTTATTTGTGTTGAAATAATGAAGAAAATAGAAAAATAAAACCCATAGAGTTTATGCCTAATTGAGTTTGTTGTTGGCATTGATAAATAAATAAAAATAGTATTGTACGAACAGATAACAGAGAGATAATAATAATAATAATAATGAATTATGAATTCATGAAATTATCAGACTGGAATAGATACATACATGTGTATTCCAAAAAAAGCCGATACATAAATGTACCTGGTTCTATGTTGTAGCTGACTGATTTTAAAAAGAATATAGAATCATTTGAATTTCTTTGTTACTATATGTTGTCAGTGATTTAGTATTTGAAAACAAATTATTCATTGTAATTTTATTAGTTGAGATCATGAGTCAATTGAAGCTAGACAACTTTGAAAAACTTGGATATAATGGACGGCCGTTTCGTTCTATTGTAAGGCTCCTCAGCAGTGCGCATCCACGATTCCGTCTGACGAGGCTGGAACCCAGGATCTATCGGTCTAGCACACGAACGCTTGACCTCTATACCTCTGAACCTGTTGGCAACCAACAGTGTTAATGTTTAACTTTGACTTATCCACGAAATTGAGTGACACATCCACCATTGTCTTCAGTGAGTTACTACCCCACCTCAGGTCCTGGGTTCGAATCTCGCGGAGCAGGGTCGTAGATGCTCACTGCTGAGGAGTCCCACAATGGAACGAAATGGTCGTCTAGTGTTTCCATGTTTTCCATGGTTGTCTAGCTTCAACTGACTCATGATCTCAACTATTAAAAATGGGTATTGCCGAAAACCTATTGTTTATATCTAATGTAAACCTAAATAAATAAATTTTATTAAAATGAAGTATATTTTAGGCTAATTGGTTACATAAATGGTCAAATATGCAATATAAAGGTTCAGTACCTTAATATCATTTGGACTTAGTACAATTTAGGATAAATGGTAATTTCTGATAAGTTTTGTAATTGAACGCTAGATTCGGGTTCCTAACCTCTTACTACTAACTCCCAGGCTACATCTAAACAGCGACTTGAACACGAGAGAAAAGGAGCAAAATACGAAAGAAACACCACTCCAAAGGTTCGTTTATGTACAAAGAATCTAGGGTATTTATAGCATTTTAGATGGTCTTGGGCTTCCGGAAATTTCTGGAACGCTACTAAACATAGTAGAAGTATATCTAATCATCTATTTAGAAACTTGACATATTACTTTTCACTTTTTTACAGATGTTTCTGGCGAAACATCTAGTCAACGATGGTTCTATAAGATGCTTCTCAATGTTTTCTAAGACATATTTTGGCTTTTTTTCGAGGAGTTTTCTGGATCTCTTCAACAATTTCAAATAAATTCTTAAAAAAATTATTTGCAATATTATTCCTACAACTCTAGAAGTAATGTATGAATTAGCCACCTGAGAATTTATAAGAACATAGTGTTTAAGATAATTTCTCAGTTGTTTTTTCTTATTGCACTATCTAAAATCCAATGTGATTTACTTCATATTTAACAGATATTTTATTAATATCAGATGGGATTTGTGGATATTATAGTAATTTCAATGGTTAAGATCGTGGGTCAGTTGAAGTTAGACAACCATAGAAAACCTCGAATAACTGGACAGCCGTTTCGTCCTATTGTGGTACTCCTCAACAGCGCACATCCACGGTCTCGTCCACTGCGAGCTTCGAACCAAGGACCTACTGGTTTCGCGCGCGAGCACTTAACCACTAGACCACTGAGCCGGCATCCAAAGCTATTAATGTCTATCTTCAACTAATCCACGAAATTGAGCGACACATCCGCGCTGCTGAGGAGTACCACAACAGGACGAAACGGCCGTCCAGTGATTCCAGGCTTTCCATGATTGTCTAGCTTCAACTGACTCACGATCTTAACAATTGAAATTACTATAATATCCACAAAAACCATCTGATATTAATCAACATGTGCTCAGCAGTGACTGACTTCAAGAAATATATCCTGGAGTTCTAGTGAGAAGTAGTGACCATTGGAGTTCAACCAGGTCTGTTGTGAGATATTCTATTGTCAAAATGATCAGAGTTATTTACGGATATCTAATAGATGAATAACTTTTCTTTTTCTCCCTCATCCCAAACAAAACGAAAAATCCATGATGCTTTTTTCAAATTCAGGTAGACTATTTGATGAACCAAAGTTTTTTTGTGTTCAAATGACATCCAATGTGAAACTATCAAAAACTACCAAGTACTGTACAGTTATTTTGTCCTGGTATAAAATCACATCTAAGTATCCATTCATATTGTTAACATAGATCTTGATAATTAATCTAATCTTAGATAACTTTAATTAACAGTACAATCCATAAAATCTTCTCCATTAAGCAATCTAATCAATCCATAAACAAATACCCCAATATCATTATTTTTTCATTTTATTAAGAAAAAAACTTTAAAAAAAATACTGTTTTATGTATTTTAATAAATATCGATTTATATAAATTCCATATTTAAATAAAAATCACTTCACATGTTACTTACGCCTGTTACTCCTAGTGGAGCATAAGCCG